TAACGGTTAATTTTCTGCCCATGCGACCACGGAGTGCTGTGCCTTTCAGTGAAAACCAAGCAATTGTCGTAAATAATCGCCAGAGTTCCGTCGCCAGAGTAGTTCAGATCCTTCCATGTAGAGCTTTGGTAAGAAGGCGATGACTTTTGACGAAGCGGTCGCAGTGTCCTTTGAAGGACCCAGCCGGCAACCGTTTTTGTCCAGTCCTCGCGGCATTAACGATCTTCATCCGCGAACAGGATGCAAAGTAATATTCTCAATAGGACAGCTGAAATAATCAAATTCAATTTAGGGAAGACGAGCTGCTTTATGATGTTTTCGATCTTTGGATTGCTGGTCACGAAACAACTGCACTTACTCTAATGTGGGGATTCATGCACCTAATGAAAAATCCTGATGTGAGAAATTTTTACGAAGAGACTGATTAGTTTAAATATCAAGGTTGAGAACTGAAGACTTCTGGTACGATTGCTTGGAAGGCAAGACACATCGTACGTTGGGGAATCCACCGCAGGTGTCGCAGCTGGTCCCAAGGAAATATTCATACGTGCGAGAGAGAATTTTCCAGTTGTTCACTTTTCGTGGTTGTTCCGGTTTCGTGTGTGCTACACACTCCCGCCCATTCAACGGAAAAGTTTTGCAGAATCCGAGGAAAATCGGTGGGATGGTCGGTTGGGCTGGACAGGGGTTGGCAGAGTAAGAGTCTTGAGAGGAAGGGAGCTCATAGTTCGCTCCCTCCCTCTGAAGATTCTTAGGATATGACCCACTGAAAGTCTAGTTTTGATTACGGCGCACCGATTGGAGGGGGCATAGGCTGAAACGCAGCGCTGACCTTTCCTACCATTTGATGCTGTCCTTAACCGGCAATAGTAGGAAGAAAAAGCTGGCATGGTGCTTCATCAGCACCTTTTACAACATTCATTCGTTTGGAGAGATTGCGACTGTAGATCCTTTCCCTGTGCGGGTAGACAGATCCGATGCTGTAGAAGGGGAGCACCTAACCACTTCGAAGTGCGTCGCACAAAGTGGGGGCTAATGCCGTTTGGACGCGCTGTTTTTTGGCTTCGAGCTCATTTTCAAAAAGCCCAAATTACCAAATCCACTGAAAAGTTCGATATAGAGGTAATCAAAATTTTACTCACGAATATGACATTCATTGATGCCGCTGGAGCTAATGGAGAAGTATCAGCAGTTGTTGCCTGTGCTAAGCTATGAACCCAGAAGATAATAACGTAGTATATCCCTATTAGCGCCTGCGGCGCCAGAGAATAAACGTCTCTGTAGTAACAGACTGTCTAGGAATAGATTGATTATGACTGCATAAAATTAGTTTAGCAGTGATTCCGGTGATTTTGAGGGTACTCTAAAAAAAAGATGCTCGCACAAACGTCAGTCGCGTATCAAACGCGACTTAGTTGAAGTAGGGCGCGCGAGCGAGGGGGGGGCGGGGTGGGGGACAGGGCGACGTGCAAGAGATGGGTTTATGATGTTCTGGTGTGTCTCAACCCGCCTATTTCGGAATTGGACTTGATGATGCAGCTGGAATGAGCAGATTCTCGGAATGACGAAGGGTACTTAATCGATCGGTACGCAGTTGTACGGATCTCTAAATGCAAGAACTTGAGGTTTATTCGAGAAAATTCGGCTGAAGTGTGGAACGAAGTCACAACGGTAATGTTCAGTTTCACTGTCTGACAAGGAGCACCCATCCTACGTGACTGGGCTTTGGGGATTGGTAATGTTTGCATCAGTTGAATCGATCAAGCAATTCCAAATATTCTTGGATTCGAGGCGTAAAGGCTTTCACGGGCACATTTCGGCTTGGGGGGCATTTCGCACTTCCGCTACTCCCCGTTGTCGTGTTCAGCCATCACGTAGGTATTTGTTGAACTTTGTGGATCAATAAAGTCTCTTGCGAAGACTGCCTGTCAACTCTCGCGAAACAATGAACACGACGATGGGAACCGCAAAAGTGCAGAATGTCCTCCTCCCAAGCCAAACTGCGTCCATACATGATTTGTGCTATGAAGTCCGAAGAAAAAAAAATCACTTCTGGAGGCCGAGGTGGCTTTACCCATGGTGACATTCTTGTTTTGGTATCACTTCATTATTTCAGGAAACTCTAAGATTGGGATCCGTAGTGAACATCAACCTGTGGCGTCGAACCAAGGAAGGCAGAAAAGTTGGAGGCTATTTCGTCCCCAAAGGCACGGCTATCGCTGCTGAACCGTCAATAATAATGAGTGACGAAAAATACTTCAAGGACCCCACCAAGGTAATTTGTCAATTATGAGAATGACAGGAAGCCTTGGGAAGACTGATTCACTGGGAGTAGTTTCATATATAGCTCGTTTTGCACCTGGGGTTGAGGAAGTCATGCGAACGTGCAGCTCTTTTTGTGGCGGGGAGTTTTTCCGCTCAAATGCGGCATCGAAGGCGACATCACGAGATTATTGTTCTTTAAGCTAACTCTCCCTCGAGAAGTTCAGCTGACTCATAAAAACTTCCTAGTGTAGAACCTTTCACTTTCTAGTTACGATTCTCTTCTGGGGAAAGAGGCTGTCCCGCTGCCGAAGCGGATTCGCAGCACGAGGCAGTACAGTGCATCGCACGCGGTGAGCGACAGTGCGTCCTTACAGACCCATAACTTGGCTACAGTTCAAGTGGTGGGTCCGCTTAAGAACTAAATGCTAGGTGACTCGCCTGTGACAGCAAAAAAAAACTGTCGGCAGCTAAGAAATAAGGCCTGTCAAGAGGAGTGGAATTACTCCCCCACCCCGGCTGCCTTGCTGCACCAACAGTAATCGGTTAGCGATTAACAATCAGTGGTGGAAACGCCGCGGGTGGGTTCACTCATCCCTACTCAAGTTGCTCTGACCGACCGTGACGTTATGAGATGTAGGGTCAGGCATGAGCAACACATTATGCAGCGTTCATACTTCGCGACAGCAGCGGCGATCGCGGCGACCTCGGCGATCGCCGCGATCGTCGGTACATGGCAGAGCGCGCCCCAACGCTATTACTTGCGCTCCGAAGGCTTTTAGGGAGAAGCGACTCAATTTCATGCTTTTTTCCTTTAACTGCAATTTCTTAGGTACTAAAGCTTGGTTTGACACAAACAGTTCAGACGATAGGAACTTTTAAGGCGCTTGTATAATTTGAAACAATGAAAACAAAAGAAACAAAAGAAGCTCACCCACGGAAT